TTAGAATCTTATATACCTGGATCATGTCCCCCCTTAGGCTCCTTTGCTCGAGGCTGAACAGATTGAGCTCAGATAACCTCTCCTCATAAGACATTCCTCTAAGACCAGGAATCATTCTCGTAGCCCAACGTTGCACCCTTTTCAAGGCAGCAATGTGCTTCTTAATTAAGGTATGGTGACCAAACCTGCACACAATATTCTAGGTGGGGTCTTACCAAGGAATCATATAATCGGACCGGTGGAGAAACGCTTGTCATAACTATCTGTGGAGTAGGTTTCATCTGGGGTCCCTTCCTGGAGTTGGATACAATCACAGCTTTATTCATTATCTCAATAGCTGGTTTTCCAGCTTTCTGAAATAGGTCATAGCTATTTGTAACAACACATGGCACAATTCTTTCATCACCCTTTGAAAGGTGAAAAGTACATTGATTTGTTTCATAAACCTTAAATGTAATTTACATTGTTAAATACCCCTGTGGTCCCTTTTTTAAAGTGGATGGCCGTATTTCCACTTTAAAATAAATTGGTACTGCAGCTCTCTAGTGAAACAAAAGCGTAATTGGAACAGAAGATGGATAAATGCAGTAGAACTGAACAGCTACAGTACACAGAAAGTGTTGACAAGTGGACAGATTTACAACACTGTGGGGAGGCAAGGTTAAATTAAAATCTAGAAATCACAATACCCAACAATGAAGTGAAGAATTTAGTTTAAAACGTATTTATAAACAAGTTTCTGTTCAAATCACACAAAGAGCTTAAACTGTGTTTCTGCATATTATTATTATTATTATTATTATTATTATTATTATTATGATTATTATTATCATCATCATCATCATCATCATCATTAATGTTATTGTTATCATTAGTAGTAGTAGTGGTATTAGTAACAAGTAATCACAAGGTCGCCGGTTCAAACCCAGCCTCAGCACGTCTGCGGGTCCTTGAGCAAGGCCCTTAACCCCCATCTCCCTGGGCGCCGCTACGGGTGGCTGCCCTTCGTGGACAACTTACTCTACAAAGAGCAAGTTGAGGGAGGCATAAAGACAATTTCCCCATTATTATTATTATTATTATTATTATTAATAATAATAATAATAATTTAAAGTGATTAATAAAAAGAAAATATTTAATCAAATGTAACAGTTTCCTTATCAGTTGGCTTCTATTTTTTTGTAGCATGCAGCAATACATTCTTATCTTTCCTAATTATTGTGCGCATGCCGATGCAGTTCAGCTTTAGTTTTAAAAGCATTAATATCCATCCACCAGTTTTCATTTTCTTTCTCCTTTCACCAGCAGGCTGAAAAGACAAGTGCAAACAAGAGAGGCCAGCTATTTCCCAGAGTAATATGTTGGCTTGTTGAAAAAACAGTTAAAGTGTTAATTGTGGTTTACAGAGAAATAACAGCATCATCATCCATCCATTTTCTGAAACCACTTATCCTATTCAGGGTTGGAGGGGGTGACTCCAGAGTCTATGGATACAAGGCAGGAAACTAGGACCAGGTGCCAGCCCATTGCAGCGCACATTCTCACACCATGCACTCACAAACACCTATGGGCAATTTAGTAACTCCAAGTAGCCTCAACATGTCTTTGAACTTTGGGGGGAAAGCAGAGTACTCAGAGGGAACCCCACAACAACACAGGGAGAACATGCAAAGTCCATACACATGGAACTCTGGCAGAGATTCAAACCCAGGTCCCAGAGACAGAGGTGACAGTGCTAACATTATTGTTCTTATTATTCACCCCTTTGTACTGTCCTAATCTGTGCATGACTTGCAAATAGATGGACAAATGGAATCAGTCTTAGTGACTGTTTAACTAATTTATGTTAAAAACATAATGCATAAATTGAGCATCTTTAATTCCAGTGTTTGTTAAAATTCATACATTCCTGTTATTTTGTCATGGTGACAAATCTATCTGACTGTTTCCACTTTACTCCCCCCTTGTGGCGACTTTGGTTTCGCTGAGTCGATGTTCAAGCCACCTTCCATTTTTCAAAATCCTTTCTGCCTGTTTATTTATGTCATCATTTATTCATTATATTATTAATCATTAAATGCCACTAAGGCATTGGAGTCAAAAATAGTTTGTCTTAGACAATTGTAAGTTATTACAGCAACCAAAAATAGTTTAAACAAAATAAAACCACTGTCCTCCACTTTTTATTAAAACTAAATGGTTTAAAAAATTTGTATACCAACAACAATAGATCCATTAAAAATGAATGTAACAAATACTATAATAGACAAGGGTGACTGTTGCCCCTATTTAAGGCCTTTCTGCACTACTGGCAGCACCACTTGTACTCCTAAAGCAAATGTTGACACTGTTTAAGCTAATTAATGGTGGCCCTGCTGAGACTGTTGTATAGGGTATTTTGCTGCCCAGTTCACCTTTTTCAGTGCCAAAGCACTCCTGTGTGTTCTGCAGAGCTGGCGGTCAGAAAAAGCCTGCATATGTTCAGTTTCTGACGTAACTCACATAGAGCGCCATATCTCTTTTCATCCCACGTGGAGAAATTCATGTAATGATTTACAATATTCTTTTGAATAGATTTCATATAGTTTTGTTACTGGTGTATTGATTTCAATTATAAATATGAACTATACTGATGAGTAATACCAGATCAAATCATTGGAGACCATAAGGTGTAACAATCTGCTTAGAGTAACTGACTGAAGGTAATGGCAAAGTAATGGTACTGTATTTTCTTGTACCATTACAGAGTAAAAGAAGCACAACTCTGAAGAAGCGTTTTGTTTATGTGTTTGGTTAGCGTGCAGTTTTCATTCATTACATAATTTCATGTAATAAGCATGACACCTACAGCCAATTTAATTTTTTTTTATTATATTACCTGTAAAACAGCTTGTCACGCAAACAAATTTTAGCATTTAAAATCAATCTTTAACTTATGAAATTATACAAAACTGTTTATTTTTACTACTTGGTAACTCCAATCAGCCTCAGCATGTTTTTGGACTGTGGGGGGAAATCGGACTACCCGCAGGAAACCCCATGCCGACACGGGGAAAACATGCGAACTCCACACATGTGTAACCTGGGCGAAGATTAAAAAAAATCTTACATTTTATTCGTATTGTCACTGGTATTACAGTCACTGGTATTGCACAATATCTCAGTATTACATTATTACATACTGCACAAAGATAAATGGTAATGTCATAAATGATCAGAACACTCAAAAAGTAATAAATACAGAAAGTAGATTTTTGTTAATACTTTGCATGTTAATTTTGCCATTTTGTAAATTACAAAAAATTGTTCAGTTACTGGTGTCATAGGGTCCAACTGGTGTTTTGTTTTAATAAGGTTTATTTATTTTTTTAATTAAATATTGTCTTTGAAAGTTGAAAAGATAATCATCTACTTAACATTAAATAGATTTAGATGGTATGGTAACAGAAATAACATACTGTAGAGTTCTTACTTGTTTCTCCACATTCACAGCTCCATTAGTCATCAACACAATATTAGTGACCCCATAATTTAAAATAACGTACACTGACAAAACACAGATGTGTATGTATTATCACAAAACTCTCAAAATTCCTTCAGATATAAATAGTCTGTATTTTATAATGCATTATTATTATTATTGTCATGTTAAGTTACATTCATTGCTATGTTCACAAAAAGTTTAACCTATTTCACCTATTCCCCTCCAATCTTCGTAAATACAGATAAACATATTAGTATTAATGCTACAGTTATGCTGTTAGTTGAACTGACGTCTCTAAATTGCCCATATTGATGTGATTGCGTGCCCTGTGACAGACTTGCCCCCTTTCCCTTTCTTTGAGCCATTTATTTCCTGGAATAGATTGCAGGCTTAACACAACCCTGTACTGGATAACATTATGGAAGATGGGTTGATTGACATATTTTAGTTCCAAGTACACATGTATATCCATTTATCTTCCAGCTGCTCATCCAGCAGGGGGTCACCAGGAGCCTATCCCAAGCAGCACAGGGCAATTTAGAGAGACCAGTTAGACTAACAGCATGCTTGTGGACAGCAAGAGGAAACCAGAGAGGCCAAAGCAAATCTCCATAACAGAGGGACAACATGCAAAATCCAGATACAAAGAGTGGTGGCAGAACTCATACCCCCAGCTAGGGAGGTATGAAACAACAGTGCTACCCACTGCACAAAATACAGATGTATCTTTCCCAATTTCTGTGTGTGTAGGCCACACTGGTGTACAGTTTCTACAGTGACATCTGCATGGAGCTATACATTGTTCTACACCAATATTTAGGTGATGTTTTTTTACCCATTAGTGTTCTCTGGATTGGAAGTAGTCAAGGAAAAAAGTAGACTAATGGCTTTTCTAGCAAGACTGTGGTCACTGAATCAAGTGTTTTCACCTAAGTGTTGCTACATAACTAAAAAAAAAATTTAAAAGCCAGTTATGGTACTTAATAATGATAGTTAAATGATAGTTATGAAACATAATACCAGTAGACACAGAAGTGGATTGCATGCACGGTGAGACGATCTGGAATAGGGTTATGAATCACAAATTTGAAGTAAACTTTGAATGACAAACAGTTATCGTCTTATTGTTTCTTCTGTAAGCTTCACTTTCTACAACTTTCCACAGGTCCATTAAAATATAATAAACTTGAACAGGCTAAATAATGCAACAAAATCATAAATTAATTGGCAACTAGTTTAAGGAACAGAGAGCAGGACCAGCACTTAGCATGTCAGCTTAATTCAGATTCTGCTACCTGGTGGGTGAGTGTGGGTGAGTGCGGGTGAGTGAGGGTGAGTGCGGATGAGTGCGGGTGAGTGAGGGTGAGTGCGGGTGAGTGATGGTGAGTGCGGGTGAGTAAGGGTTAGTGCGGGTGAGTGAGGGTGAGTGCGGGTGAGTGAGGGTGAGTGCGGGTGAGTGAGGGTGAGTGCGGGTGAGTGAGGGTGAGTGCGGGTGAGAGAGGGTGAGTGCGGGTGAGAGAGGGTGAGTGAGGGTGAGAGAGAGTGAGTGCGGGTGAGAGAGGGTGAGTGCGGGTGAGAGAGGGTGAGTGTGGGTGAGTGCATACCAGGGCTGGATAGTCTCCCAGTGTGAGCCTGCCATAGAAGGTGTCCACATGCTGCGCTCCCCTCAGCACCTCTAGGGAAGCCAGGTGATGACACGGATGGCTGTGGCGGCCGCCCGCTGGATGATGGCAACAGGATGGCTCAACCGTGTCTCTAGCAGGGGCACATGCTCCAGGAGCTTCTGGCGAGCAGACGGTACCTCGGCCAGGACAGTGAGGGCCCGCAGCGCGTTTGCGCATACAGCTGTATCCTCACTGGTCACCAGGGCCAACAGTGGGGGGATGGCGCCAGATTTTAGGGCCTGATACTTCCCTGGACAGGACCAAAAATGGGCATAAGGAAATGGCAACCCAATGGCAAACAAGACAAAAGAGACGGGTCAAAAGTGAAGTGAAGTGAAAAGTGAAGGACTGAAGTGCAATTCCTGTAACAGAGACATGACCTTGCTAATACTACTTTTGTTTATATAATATATTTATATAGTAGATATAGTACCAAATCCAAGGCTGTGAGCATAAAAGGCATCATGTTAAATTGCCTTATAAAACAATCAAGTCACAGTTATACTGATATTCAGCATAACATATAATGTATATCTGAATGTATACCTCCACAATAGCAGTAATTATAATGCTAACAGGTAATATGACGCTTCCTCTGCCAGCTGTGCTCTCTTCCTCTGTACAGGCATTTCCAGATTCCCCCTCTTCGGCTACATACCTTTTGTGATGACCGCTGTGTTCATAATGGTGCCAGCAGCATTAGCTTTGACCCCCGGGTCACTGTCGCACAGTAATTTGACCAAGACTGGGAGAACCTCTTCCTCACACAGCATGTCCTTCCCTTCACGGGAGACACTTCCAGAAAGACAGGCACATCCATCATATCTACCATAGTCACCAAACACTCGATAGCCTTCGGTTCATCCTGCCTTAGTCTTGAACATGTGCTTCTAAACAGAAAGCATCAATGTCTCCTTGTAGCATCAATTATCTAACACTAATGCCTCCATCCAGTTCATAGAGCTATGGTGAGACACCTACTTTTGTGATGTTCTCATACATTATCAAAACATATATACAAGTTATTTATACTTTTTTTGGTTCACTTTGGCTGACCACTTTTACAGTGCATTATGTACAGACAAAGAAAGCCGATTTCAGTAGGATGTGTCTGTTTGGCTGCAGAGGCTCATGGAACCAAGGGGTGAGCTGCCTGCAAAGTAATGGAGACTGATCCATCAGACAGTTAAATGAATACCCCTATGTGGTGACTGAACCCAAAGCAAGCACTTCCATAAGTGCATTAAGAGAATTCCACTGAATACATTAAACCTGGAAATGACTCCAGCAGATTAACATATGCATTATTAATGTACTCAGCAGGATCATGTCACCATACCCACCTCATAAAAACTGACTGTCTCTAGATATTTTTTTCAAAAACTGAGGTTTCTGAACTTTTTTCTATGATTTCGGTGAGACGATACATATTTAAATGGAAAGCATTACCTACAATTGCTCTCATCGTTCCAAAATCACTTAGGGAAGTTATCCACAAAAAAAGATTTATGACAACATTTATGACAGTTTGGCTGACATAGCAGCATGCAGCTTCTCAGTGACCGCTAAGAGGGCAGTCTCTGTGGAGTGAGCTGCTTTGAAGCCAGACTGATTAGGATCCTGTAGGTTGTTTTGAGAGAGGTAAAGAGAGAGCTGGTTGTAGACTGTGCGTTCGAGGATTTTTGAAAGGAAGGAAAGAAGCGATACTGGTCGGTAGTTGCAAGTGTCCGAGGGATTTAGAGTGGGTTTTTTCAAGATGGGAATGACCCTGGCTATTTTGAATGCTGTTGGTACATGACCGGAAGTTATGGAGCCATTAATGATAGTGGTGATGAAGGGGAGAAGGTCCAGAGAGATTGTCTGGAGCAATGTGGAAGGGATTGGATCCAGTGGGCAGGTGGTAGGGTTGTAAGATGAGATGACTTTCATGATCTCATCAGCCGTAAGACTGGAAAACTGGGTCAGTGAGGGGGAAGGGAAATCCTGGGTGTGTAGTGTAGTGGATGGGGAGGGAGAGAATGTCTGGCAGATTTCACCAATCCTTTCGTCAAAGAAGTTGGCAAAGTCTTCAGCAGTCAGGGAGGATGGAGCAGGAGGAGTTGGAGGGTTGAGTAGTGATGAAAAGATATTATGGAGTTTACGAGGATCATGTGAGGATAGCTCTAGTTTTTCCTTATAAAAGGCAGTTTTAGCTGCAGTCACATCCGAAGAGAATTTGGATAGCAGAATACGGTAGGAAGACAGATCTGCATCAAGTTTCGATTTTTTCCATGTCCTCTCTGCTAGCCACAATTACAACATCCATTACAAACAGCAGAACATATGTATGCATGTTTATACATTCACAGATTTAAGCTCCACCTGCTCCTCCAAGGAACATTCCAGAGGTCACAAGATGTACTGTTCCCTTATTACACTTCATTGCTCATTTTCTTGTTAAACGTACACTCTGCTCTCTTAAGGCTGCTTGTGAGCAGAGGTGGGGATTTTAAGTCCAGAGAGTACAAACCCAGACCAAAATTTAGTTTCAACCAACCAGTTGAGTTCTCTGTGACTGTGATTTTTTATGCTGGTTGGTTGAAACAAAATCTTGGTCTGGATTTGTACTCTCTGGACTTAAAATCCCCACCTCTGTTTGTGAGTATTCAGTGAAAGACTACTGAAGTGCTTGTATGAGAATGCAAGTGTTGTTTTTTTGCCAGTTAGGCAGACTGTCAATGCTGTCATGTGCATGTACAGGTGTGTGTGTGTTTGTGGTCCAGGAATACCTTACCTTGTGGGGACCAAATGTCCCCACAACGTGATGAATACCCGTTTTTTTTTTTTTTTTTATCTTATGGAGACCAGTTAACTTATAAAAATCCTTGACTGCAATGAAAAAACTAAAAATGCAAAAACTCTTGTATGTTGCTTATGGTTATGGTTAGGGCTGGGTAGGGGTTAAGATTGTTATAGCTAGCATTAAAATGTTTCCCATAGAAATGAATGAGCGGTCCCCAAAAAGATATGATTACACGACTCTGTGTGTGTGTGTGTGTGTGTGTGCGTGCATGTGTGTGTGCATGTGCATGTGTGTGTGCGTGTGTGCATGTGTGTGTGCGTGTGCATGTGTGTGCGTGTGTGTGTGCATGTATGTGTGTGTGCTTGTGTGTGTGTGTGTGCATGTGTGTGCGTGTGTGTGCATTGCTGCCCACCTGATGGCCACCATGACACGAGCTGCAGCACAGCGAATGCTGGATGATGGGTGAGAAAGCAGGTTGTGCAGGATGGGGACTCCATTGGTGGCCAAGGTAGGCTTGGCTTCCACACGCACACAGCTGCTGAGTGTGGCCAGGATCAGGCCCTGGATCTCCTCCTCCTCTTCCTCCTCCTGCTTGGAGAGCTTCACCACTAGTCTTTGCACCAGACCCAGAGACAGCAGACAGTTTGCGCCTGTCGTAGATAGAGCCCACAGACAGATGGGTGAGGGGGAAGCCAGAAAATTCCCTGAATGCTTCATTATGCTTGACAGGTAGCTGCCATGTAATGGAAAACCTTCACAAAGTGCCACATGAAATGAAAATGAATCCCAGTAAACAGAGGATGACGGCATTACATTATGTTTGCAAGAAAAATGACAAACAGTGTGAAACCTTTCAAGCAACAATTTTTCCACTGACTTGAAGACAATGCCTTTTTATGTAATTGCTTGGGAGTGAGAAAAAAAAGCTTCAGATACAAGAAAGTATCAGAAACAAATATATTTATTGTTTGTACAAAACTGAAATAAGAGGAAGCTTTTTGGATGTTCCAGAGGTATCAAATGAGGTTAGAGCTGTTACTTTTGACTGTCACCTTTCTGCTGCCTCTTAGGGTCACACCATAGTAAATATATACTATAGACAGCAACAGTTAGTGTGAAGCGGAAAACATTATGTGAAGCTGACTGAATCAAAAAAGTTTAAGAACTGAAAGACTTTAAAATATACATTATCAGTCATAAAAAGGGTTATTTGTACTATTCTTTACATTTAAGAATAATTATAAACATATAAAGACAGATTATGCACTGCCCAAAAAAAAAAAAATTGCTGAGGAGGCAGCTGTATGGGTTGGGACTCATGTCGGTTCAAATCCTGGGTGGGCAGAGTGATCCCATCATTGGGTTCTTGAGCCAGGCCCTTAACCCCAAATGCTCCAGGTACTGGCTAACCCTACTTTCTCCTTTATGCCAGTTTCATGAGGTGGCCTCCTGGGATGCTTTTCCAGCTGTGCTGAAGGGGTTCCCACATATGCTGAGGACTAATTGGCCACTATTCCTTTACTCTCTGGTCAAACTCCTCCAAAACCACTTCCACTGTGTTTTGGTCAGGTGGCCAGGTCATGTGACACTCTATCACTCTCCTTTATAGGCTGCTTGGGATGTCCAAACTTTGACTGGTACTGTATATCAAATACCAGTGGAACGGAAGTAAATTATATTCTGGGTTTCTAACAAAACCCTGATTTGTCTCTGGAAAGAAACATTTTTCAGTCCTCCAAAGAGCAATGCAGGACCAGGGAGGTGAAGGAAAACTCATGGGCAGGAAAAAAGAAAAAGAATGAGACTGGATGTAAGAGCCCAGGGTCAAGTACACTTAGCAGAAGAGTCCATAGTGAACTGGCTAAGAGCTGAATGGAGAGAGAAGATAAAACACCAACGAATCATTGTAATGCTACAAAGGAGGCTGTTAAATGCATGATTTAGTATATAATATTCCTGATTTGCAGTTGTTTCCTTGATATTTACCCAAGAATTCGAAGCATCTTTCCTAAGGGCACCATAGTGCAGATTGTCTGTGAGTTTAATCCAGCACAAATTTGGTTTCTTAGTTTTTAAATCCTCTCTAGTCCTGCTGCTCTCATAGACATACTGCAACAAGTCTATTTAGCATTTGCATATTTGGGATAGGAGTACTAAAGTAACAGCTTTTGAATGAACTTGCAGTAGGTAAACCCCAGGAGAGCGATCAATCTATATTCTTACAGTGCTGACCCATGCTACTGAATTCAGAAAAGTTGCAGTCTTTGAGTATTACAGTCTTTGAATACTGCAGCAGTCTAATCCTGAGGGAAAAAAGCAGGAACAAATTTTAGGGTCGGGCCACAGAACATTGAAGAGTTTGTTTATTTCCAAAAATAAACTATATATTTTATTTTTTTTACAACCCTGTACTCTGCTCACATACAAAAAAATCAACCTGGTTAAACTTATGAAATTACCAATCGATCCACCATGGACTAGATTCCACCAGACCATGGAATATACGCTTTTATAATAGTAAACTTTAATCTGAAAGCTTTTCAATGGTCTTCTTTTACTGAAATCAGTAATGGTATATACACATACTATCTAGCTTAGACTACTGACCTGCCCAGAAGACCCCTGTAACTATACATTTATTTACCGGACAACTGTATCTGGAGCTAATATATCACAGTTGTCACTCAAGATGAGAAAGCACGTGTGAGTTTGTCTCTACCATGGTGGTTTAAGAAATTAACTGTCTGATCTGTTTGGGCACATCATTTGAATAAAATTATGGAGCATTGATACCCAAATAAATTCTGATGGAATGAAAAATCACATTCGACCATAAAAATTAGCCGATGACCTTAAAAGTACTTTTCCTATGCATTTATGATCGAAATGCTATGATCGAAATTGTAACATTGCAAAATGACCTCCACCTCAAAGCTTACCAGGCTGCACAAAACTTTTGGTGCCTTGTTGACAGAAAAGTACAGTGGTGTATGTACAGCAGCTATGAAGGTTGCCAGCTTGTTTGGTTCAACCTATCTCTGTGAATCAGCGTTTTCTGACATAAACTTCATTGAGAACAAACACAGAACACGCTTCTCTGATGCACATCTGCAGGACTCACTCATAGTTGCAGTGTCAAGTTACACACCAGATTACAATACACTGGTGAACAGCATGCAATGCCAGTTTTCCCACTGACAAAGAAACAGATACCAGATGTTGTCATTCACAACATGGCAGTGCCATGGCAAAGTCGAATTCAAATATTGAAAAACTGTGTTTAATTCAAAAGTCAAAAGCGTGTTCATGAAATGTAACAGATATAATATTTTTTATTTAAAATACTGCAGATTTGTTCATTAGTTCAAAATGTGATGAGTTCTTAAAAATTCTGAAAGTTTTTTGTTAAACACATAATTGATAACTTGTTCAAATGTGGTGTAACATAGTTCATGATTTGTTAAAAGGGTTTGTCGGTGGTAAGTGAAAATGGGACATGGTGATTTCCTATAAAATGTTATAGAAATGATCATTTGAAAATGTAAACAATTGCTGAGATTAATATAAATAAAGTGTTGAATATTGATATTATCTGTTTCCCACCTTGTTAAGTCATTGTTGATAAAATCATAAATGTGATCAGTGTCTTCACATAGATGAGTATCATTAATCATTAGTAATAATATATAACTAAAAGTAAACTGAGCAAATTTGTTATTTAAGAAGAAGTGTTTCTCAAACTGGTAGCCCTTCGCATGGCTCAGTACCCGTGAAGTAGCTCTCAGTCTCAAAAAGGTTGGTGACCTGGTCTAGTGAATAACAGAATAGATTTCCTTGTGATTTAAAACCTCAAGTCGATCAGTTTAATTTAAAAAGAATCCTGTATGATTTGAAATGCATATTATGCTCAATGTTATCTTTAAAACCACTATTTATGTAGCCTGCCTCTTAGCATCATAATATTTCTAAATTATACTGGCAAGAACAATATTTAATCCATACATAAAAATATGTATGGTATGACATTTTCAAAGATTTAATTGAATAGCACACATTCGTCATGTTGTTTTATTTTGAATTTTGATTGCTCCCTAACTCCACTTTTAAAGCACATGGCTTTTAAAGTTGGTTGAGCTCAGCATGAAACCTTCACAAGCTCAATAAGAAACATTGAGTGGGTTCATCTGCTATGAGCAGAAGTGGCCCAAGTTGATGAAGTATTCATCAGAATCTGTTTGTACAACAGGCAGACTGGGAACTGTTCAATCTCCTATACTGCTCAAAAGTTATACTGTCTCAGAAGGTCTTAAAGTGGGTTGTGCCATGAGTCAGTTATGGAGAGTTACATCATATTAGTGGGTGTGTTGTACATTATGGATTAGTAGCAGCATTGGAACTCAAACAAAGTCAGCATGATATACAAAAATCAGGGATCTGGTCATTGAGGGGTATAGGGTTCTCTGTGTCAGTGCACTATGCAAAGAGTTATGATGGGTCTTTGTTTTGAGTTCCTAGAAGATCTCTATTTTCTGTAGTTCTTCTCTGACTGAAATCAAATTAATCCTGCTGAGGAGCATCCCTCTAGTGATGGATGATGAGTGGAAAATTGGAATAAGAGAAAATTCTGATTCAGAGATGTGAGTTTCTGATAAATGTTGATGAGCTGAGGAATGTAAACGGGCTATGATTCTGTGAGTTGTTAGGTGCAGGCCATGCCGTTTGATTGAGTGTGTGTAGGGATATTGCTTTCACAATTAAACCCGAGAATCGCAGTCGGCTGTTTATAGAAACATTAGCTCAGATGATGTAGCTCTCGTGTATGAGAACATTAACCCGACACAGAGCCCTTGTTTATAGGAACTTTAGCTGAGAAGATGGAAGACCACAGGTCTTTCACATTCTTAGTCCTGTAAGACATGTTATGAATAGGTCTGACATATCAGGATATAGAACTTAGTAGAGTTTTAAGAGGGCAAATAGGTAGTCAGACACATTAAAAAATAGCACATCAGGGACATGTAACTTCCGATAATGTCAAGTTATGTGATCAGTCCCAACACCGGTGTGATCTCAGGAAATGGAGGGCTGAGCTGGGGGAGGGCGAAACAGCAGATCTGTCAGAATGGTACACATCTTGTTGGCACAGCCTGAGGGCTGCTCTGCGCACACACACAGCTGCGTCGTGGACGGGGTGTGAATGTGCTTTCATGTTGGATGCAGCTGCTGGCAGCATTCACATGACAGTGGCAGCCATCCTAACACTGGAGAAACGCTGTGAATGCTAATTTTAATTTGAATTTCAGAAGTGACGTTGCAGTTCTGACAAAGAAGCTCTTTCAAAGCAGAGAGTGGAGAGGCCAGTTTTTTGGGTTAAATCTTATGTAAGGTTACTTCATATCAATGTGATCTAAAATTAATGGTAATCTCAGTGGCTTGTTTTATGATGTGCCCCACCTGATGGTGGTGAGATTGGCATTCCAGCCACCGTAAAAACTTCACACAGCTGTGGACAAAGCAATCAGGATGCTTTTCTGCTCTCTGAAGGACTGGTGTGGTGCTGAGGTGTTGCCCAGCACTCGGGTCCTAATCTGAGGGGGCCCATCCTGGTAGGCACGTGGAATGTCTTGTCTCTCTAGCATGATGACCATCT